TGCGGCCTGCAGCTGCTGCCTTCCCTGGCTGTAGCGAGGAGGCCGTGACGTGTTAGATAAACTTTCAAAAGCATTTTCGGGTCAAACTGGTGGTGTCATTTCCGTACAGGATAACAGGCTCTCCATTTGGTCTGTTGGAGATCTTGGAAATGCGGGCCTCAGTGGTGAATATCAAGGAGAACCTCAGCTGCTGTGTGACATCAGGCACAATGGGGACGTTATGGACATGCAGGTAGAGTAGCCGTGCTGAACAAATCCGTGTTTTTTAAGGGCTTGTTACTTAGGAGAAATTAAGGGATAGTGAGCTGTCAGAATGCTGAGATTCACAAAAAAAAAAAATCTTAGGAAGGAGATGGGCAAAACCGAGCAGTATCAGTTTGTGGATTTGTTTGGTTTGGTTTTGTTGTTGTTTTTTTTTACCCTTTATCTACCAGTAATTTGGGTTACTCTAAAATCAAAATTATCATCTTGGTATTGACATCAACGAATAGCATGTTTATTATCTCCCTTTAGTTTTTGGATCAAGAGAGAATCGTGGTTGCCTCATCAACAGGAACTGTAACTGTATTCCGTCATCATCAAAATAACCAGGTAAGTAACTTGTACTGGATGTAAGCTGCTATTCTGCATAATACAGGTCACTTTGATCTTAGCATAAGATCTCTCAAAACTACTAGAGCAAGAAACATCTGCACACCAGAATCAATTTTTCGAAGTCTGTTAGAAAAAGCTTTGGCTTTATACATACAAGGAAATAAAAAAGCATTTTGCATACACACCACATAAATTAGATTCCAGAGCCAGATAGACTTGGGTGTCTGCTAGTATATATATATCTGTAACCAAACGGTGCATTCACTGAAAACACGCTTTGAAGAGTTTAGATTGTTTGGGGGGAGGGCGTATTAATGGGCTTGTACCTGCTTTATTAGAGTTTTTGCGTTCTTGAACTAAATGACTCATGTTGAATTTCTTCTCACAAGTGTCATGTGAGGGAAGACAGATAAACTCCGTTGTCTTTCACTTTGATTATAAATCACTGAAAATAAATGCGTAATGACTTTTATATATTCACAATGACACGATAAAGACCAACATCTATTAATAGTTTGATGTGGTACCTAAAATAAACTAAATTCCTTGCAATCAAAATCTAAATCTGACCGCATATTTCATAAAGGCTGCAGCTCTTTTCCCTTGGAAAGCCTGAAAGGGATAAGTCTCGCAAAAGACATTTCACAGTTCATAAATAGATTGTATTCTTTCTGATTTCTAGCTCCTGTGAAAAAGGGGGTTCAGAGAAGAAATAACCAGTGTTTCATTGAAGGGTTGTGTGAGGAAAATTTAGATCTCCTGATTCTTATTTGTACAGGAGATTCTCATTCCTGTGAGGTAGTGTGGCTTTCCTGGAGTTTGTTTCTGGTTTCGTGAGTATTCTGGAAGCTTTGGTCTATCAGGATCATTATTTAACAGCAGAATTTCATGTCTGGTTACTCCTTAGACTTTATCTGCCAACCAGCGGTGGGAGAAAGCCCATTATCATGTGGATCAAGACACGTCTTGTGGTGGAGCAGCGTGTACCGGAGTCATCTGCAACAAGCCAGAAATTGTCACTGTTGGAGAAGATGGTAGAATAAATCTCTTCAGAGCTGACCAAAAGGATGCAGTAAGAACTATAGGTATGTAAAATAACTGCTCAAATTAGTTTGAAGTGGTTTGTTTGGGTTTTAGCTTCCTAAATAACAACAACCAAAAAATCATCAGTTGAGAATTGAATTAAATATTCCAAGTTGACTGTGTTTGCTCCGAGTTATGCCTGTATTCCTCCAGACTTCACATACTTGAAGCATATTTCAGATGTGTTTCTATATTCATTCAGATATTTGCAAGTCAGTGTTTTAACTGGTGGAGAAGTTTCAAGCCTATATTTTCTGTAGGCTTCTGATTCACCTAGAATTGTTAAATGCTATAACAGTATGCATGAAATATGGTTAAGTTTGAAGAAGTCCTGTGTCCCAAGTTCCTCACAACTGGAGGTCAGTGAAATAGTTATTTCAGTTTGCTGTTTGTACTAAGGTTAATCCTCATGGTGTTCGTATACAAAACTATCTATTTCTCTGTGTCTAAAGGAACACCAAGAATCAGAAGCCACTGTTTGTACCCTGTTCTGCCAGATATCGTGGCTCACATTTCTCCAGTAGTGAAAAAGCTCCATATTTCCTAGAGTAACAGATTATGTGATAGAGGAAGATGTTTGTGAAAGGTGTCAAAACTTGGTTACTCCCAACTCTTCTATCATGCTCGTCTCTATTTTGTTTCATCTGTTGGAAATAAAACTTAGAAGCAGAAATAATTTAAAGGACAGTAACGCCATGTTTGATAGTCACATTGTTAAACCAGGACTTTCTCCCTGAAACTCGCTGGACACAGCATCTGTGTTTCTCCTCAAGCAAAATCTTTCCTCCAACAGATGAAGGAATTCACACCGTGATAAGCCAATTAAGGAAGGAAGTGCTCTGGGATTTCTAGAGCGGGTACTTGTGTGTGCATGGCTGTATGTACACACACCAGATAAATCCTATTAATTGCATACAGCCCTTTACTGAAGCTCCTTGAGAATTCCTGTAGGAAACCTTTCTATGCTTTTTTATTAAAAAAACAAACAAACAAAACAAAACAAAAACCACAAACCCAAAACCAAAAAACGTAGCGGCGCATGAGGCAGATCTTATTAGCACATGCACACAAAACACAGTAACTTCGCCTTTGAGGTGCAAGAACATTAACTAGTTTAAAAGGATTATTTTATTTTAAATTTTTACTTATGTACAGATACTAACAGAGTGCTCTGGTACAAGTTTGTTAATAATAGGGTAGGATGTTTTGCTGACTCACAGGAAGCAGATGTCTACAAAACCCCCCTATATTCTTCTCTGGGCAATTGCTCAGACGCTTACATACAGATTTAATAACGTGCAGGATGCAAGTTGTTAGTTTTCTCGGTGCTCACTTATTTGCAAATCAAAAGTACTATGTAAAAATGCTTGCTTTGTAGTGGTAGTATCAGCCAGTGTTATGCTGCAGTAGGACTTTGCACTGAGATTTGCTGGCACATAAACATTTAAGAAATATGTGAATTAATTGAGAAATTTCCTTTTGGAAATGGAAAGGGAAATGTTAAAATAGGAATGGTCCATAAATAAGTCAGTCATACCTATGACCTGGTAAGTGAAGCTTACCTGGAGTTATGTGGAAGGGACTAGCACACTCATTAAATAGAGATTGTTTTACAGTAAAAGTTGGAGAGGGAGGAGAGAACATCTTGGAAGATGCTTTCAAGACCTTCGGGAGGGAGTTCCATAGTGCAAGCAATCCTTTATACTGGTTCCCAATTCAGTGACATCTTGATGTTTCCCAGGTGCTGAGGTGAACCCTCAACATGTTTTAACATGAAAACAGAACTCTTGTACCTCAAGAATTATTTGCTATTTTTGTTACTGTTTAATGGACTTGAGAGTATAATATAAAGTTGACATGTTTATAGTCCACTGTGGTAGGGGAAAAAAAAATCTCCAAAGTTAAGAGATGATGTAAAAATCTTCTGGAGCCATAAAGATAACATCATTGCTAAATCACTTACAGTTATTCTGTCACAAAACTTTAAATCCTTCAGAACTTCAGTGTTCAGTAACTTAACATTTCTTTTTAAAGGTGTTTTGGTGGGTTTTTTTATCCCCTTCTGCTTTCATTTAAATAGTAGGCAGAAAAGAAAGCTCATACAGATATCTGTAACCAGGCATCAGTGTAACTCATCCATCTCAATATCAGAAAAGGGTTCCATCTTATGCAGCAAAATTCGCCTATAATTTCAGTACGGTCTTACAGAAAGGACTTTAAAATACTTCAGGTGAAAGTAGACTTAATGATGTTACCTCATCATAATCAAGATGAAAAGTTGATATATAATAACAGAATGAAAATATAAGAAAATGTCTATGTCTCTCCTAAAGCCTCAAAAGTTTCACCTCAATGCTGTGACATGTTTGACATTGTAAATTATTGTGACCAAAAGAAGCACTGGAGAAAAGGACCTGAAGAAAGAGCTTTGCCATTTAATTAACAGTAGCACAGCATAATTCTGGCTTGGCTTTAGGGACAGGGGTGGATATCACATTGACAGGTCTTGGAAAAGGCCTAAAGAAAGGTGGTGAAGTGTTTCTACATACAGCTGCTTAATGTTCTCAGCCAGAGTTACTGTTCCTTGTGTTCAAAAGGACTGCATTACGGAAAGCTCCATAGCTTGCCTCCTGTCAGAAGATGCAGAGCATCTAAAGAAAACTTGCCTGAAAACCATGGACTTGGCTAAATTGATTCCTCCTCTTAGGAACTATAGAAAGAAATCTTTGGGATCAACAAGTAGCCCTGTAAGCACCACAGCTAATTAAATGTAGCTTCTTAGAGATTTGTCTCAGTAGTGTTTGATATAGGAAGCAAGGGCTCCTTTTTCACAGGGCACCCTTGCAAGACTTAAAATTCACATGACACTGGTCTGTCTCTGCCCCTGAAAATGCAGAGAGGTTGTAACCATGTTTAGGCAGCTGTGTTCTGTTCTCTAAAGAGAGTTATTTTTTGTAATTAAATAGAGACTAGCATTCCATAAGTTTACCTGAATGCTTTCCTCCCCTCTCTTGCAGATAATGCAGACAGCAGTACGCTCCATGCAGTGACTTTCCTTCGCACAACTGAGATCTTGACAGTAAATTCAATTGGACAGTTAAAAATATGGGACCTCAGACAGCAAAGAAATGAGCCATCTCAAATATTTTCTTTGTAAGACCTTCTTTTTCTTTTTTTTTTACATGTTTACTGAGAAGCACATGCTACTTTATATAATCTGATTTAAATCTTTCCTGATAGCTTCTTGGGGATGGGATGATAAATGACTAATGTTTTTGAAAAGGTTTTTAACTACTTTGGTATTTAAATAATCAAAAGCAGACTCTGCTTAATGGCTGAATTACTGTTGTGGCTATTGCACCTGTACACTTGTTCTTTTTTAAGGAAAAAAACCAAACCACCACCAACCCTCAACCTAAAACTCTTTCTCTTTCCCCAATTAAATATACTTTACATCTGTTTTTCTCCGCAGGCCTAATATAAAGTTTCTGGCATTTGAAATGTATTTGAATGATAACTTTGTGCCTTTTAAGGTATTGTGAGAAAACAAACCGAGCTAGATTCAAATCCTCTTGTTGTCTGTGGAATAATTCCTATTGCTGTTAATAGGCTGTGGTTTAGGTACCTGGTTTTCTTAGTGCCCAGTCTCCCTTTGTAACTCTTAGTATATGTTGAAACTGTCATTATAACATGAATTTCAGAGTAACCTCCTTATTACTGTAGGTATACTTAGAGTATTATCTATATGCAAGGTTTTCTCACTCCTGTGAAGCTGTCAGGTTGTGTAGATGCCTGTATACCATAGGGCAGAGAACCTGATGCTCATCCAGTTGTAGCTTCCTGTTCTTGCCATACCTCTAATTCCCAGTAGATGTCATGCGGCTTCAGCCTGTAGTGACCAGATGCTACAGGAATCGAAGCAGCAGTTGATACTGTTACGTTGTTCGTCAGTGCTTCTAGAGATTAAGAAGGAGAAAACAGAAGCTGAATAAAGAATTCATGTTTGGGTTGGTGTGTTTTTTTCCTTCTCCTTTGCAGGACAGGTGACAGAGTTCCACTGCACTGTGTGGACAGGCATCCCAACCAGCAGCATATTGTGGCCACAGGGGGCCAGGATGGGATGCTGAGTATATGGGACATCCGGCAGGGTACTATGCCAGTGTCCCTGCTAAATGCTCATGAAGCGGAAAGTAAGTATCAAATGGAGGGGGGAGAAGAAGGTGGCATTTTAGAAAAGTTTCTTATTTCTGTAAAAAAATTAGCTGTTGTAGCTGTGCTAGAAAACAATCGCGTAGTTGCTACTTAATGTGTTTTCATCCAATTGGCTTCAGTTTCTTCCTTCTCTGTATGCAAGGCTGTTCTTATCTAAAAGCCAACTATCTAAACTAAGACTAGACTTGGTAAGTAGCTCTTCAGTGAGTCATTAGATGCACTTAACCAGAATGGCTGTGTTTTCTAGGAGGGTAGGTATATAGTCATAGAAATTGATGCTGTGGGATGCAGGTATAGTAAAGCAAGAATGGCTACTAACAAACTGAAGATAGAACAGATCCATTTGGTACCTCCACAATGCTACAACAGCTCACTTTCCTGGTAACTATATCAACAATATAGCAATTCACTTAGTCTTGAAAGTTTCTTGACTTTGATGCCACAATTATATTTAAGGAGTAAAAATATTTCTTGATGTTAAGTTTTACTGACTTATTTATCTTTTCCACAGTTATGGTATTTAGACACAAAATAATAACATGTGGGCTGGGAACAAATACATGCTGTGTGCGAATTTAAACTTATTAGTAGGGAAGACGACATGATAAATTATTCAGAATGTTGAAATTCAGATAAGATTTTAGACTTTAACCATTTTCACAGTACTGAAAAGGCAACAAAATAGAGTCTGTCTTTTCTTTTTTCCTTTCTCTCCCAAGAGAGGGGAAACTGCAGTAAATAACTAAGGATGGGGTTTTGGGTCTCCTTCCCACACACACTTGAGAATGGAAGGTTTCGGCGGGGACCTGGGTTCTTTTTAGGTGCATGTCCACATCATATAGGCAGAGTGCACTGAGTGAAGTACTTGATACTTATTCTGAAGTTGTTTTGTTTGATTTTGGTTTGGTACTTCCAGTGTGGGAAGTTCACTTCCATCCATCCAACCCCGAGCACTTATTTACATGTTCTGAAGATGGATCTCTTTGGCACTGGGATACTTCCACAGATGTATCTGAAAAACCGTCTTTCCTTCATCAAGGTAAGGATGTTTGAAGTCAACTTGCACTGAATTGGTCAGTTGGCAACATAATTAAAGTCAATGTTCTCACGTGGCCCAATTAATAACACAATCCTAATATGGAAAACTAAAAGCTGGTTTCTTTTCTTAGTAGTTTTCCTGAAGTGCCCATAAGGCTAACAGTTGTGTGAGTTGTTTGTGGTCTGTTGCTGTTTGTTTGTTTTTATCTGCTGTACTCTGTGCCACCTCTAGTATTTCAAAGATAGATCATGTTCATTTAATCATCTGTCTATAGAAAAGAAATGAAGGCAGCCTAAATGATACGTTACTGTCTGAGTCTGAGGGAGATACACAAAACTTTATAACACCAAAATAATTGATATGTTAATAGGATAGTGGAATTACAAATTTACTATTCAAGGTCATAGTTGGAATTTCCAATGAATGAAACTGGATCCCTTAATATCATGGCAGGATTTTAACTAAAGATCTGATACTGACTTAATATAAGCATTTATTTTCACATCCTAGTCACAAAGACTGCTTAATGTCTTGCCACTTCAGTCTGTAAACAGTGGGGAAACTTTCAGATGTCATCTGCTCCCTTTGGCCTCAAAGTTGGCATTCAAAGCTCA